AGGCTGTGCCTTGTGTCTGTCTGTGTGAGAGTGTCTGTATGTGTGGGGGGAGGAACACAGATCCATCTTTTCCACTGATTAATAAAGGAAACATTTTATTTAAATATTCATGTTAAGATTCACTAAGCGAAGGGGTCGGTCTGCGCACGTTGGGCCTGGAGTTGGGGGGGTGGGGGAGAGATTCTCCGACAGAAATGGGTGATGAAGATTGATTCCTTAAGAATGCTTCTCAGTTCACATCGACAGGCAGAGAGAGAGAGACACACACACACAGAGACACACTGACAGAGAATGCACACACAGGCTGACAGACACACAGACATTCGCAGATACACACGCTGACAGAGAAAAAGATGCACAGACACACGCTAAAAGACACACACAGACCGATAGAAATGCACAGAGAAACACACATTGGCGTACAGAGAGAGAGAGACTGACACAGACTGACAGAGATGTACAGAGACAAATAGATACACTCACTGATGGAGAGAGAGAGACACAGACAGAAACACAGACACACAATGACAGAAACAGACTAACACACTGACGGGTACACACAGAAATAGACACACTGACATACACACAGAGAGACACTGACAGAGGTCTATACAGAGAAAGGCACACACTGACAGAGACAACTGATAGAGACAGGCTCACACTGACAGAAACACAGAGACAGAGACACACAGAGACAGAGACAGGCTCACACTGACAGAGACAGAGACACACTGACAGAGACACGCACTGACAGAGACAGACACACACTGACAGAGGTACACACAGAGACAGACACACGCTGGCAGAGACAGAAACGCACTGACACAGATTGGTAAACTGATAGAGACACACACATTCCCCCTTGACCTGTGGTAACTATATAATAATTTTGGATCTGCACTGGCAGAGATACACCTTCATGTAGCAGGAGATTGAACAGCACAATGCAATACATCTTACTGAACTAAACCTGAGATTGAAACTGTATCGATTATTTCACACACTGGTCTGTAACATCGCCATCCTATACATTCACAACCCGCCAAACAAGAGCCCTGTAACATTTATTTTCAAATGTAGATATAAACGGCGCGGTGTTCGCATTTAAACAAACTTAGCGGTTAACCAGTCCATAAACTATTACTGGGACACCTAACCAAACATCTATTAAGATTTGGGTTTTTTGTTAAATCTTAAAAGGTCCTGAGAGTCTCCTCGACGCCAACGTGTTTTAAATGAAAGATCTTTTCTTAATATAAAGTAGTCGCATTTTGCTTTCAGTGACTGAACTGAAATGGGTGAAAGTAACACGGATTTTCAGAAAAATGTCAATTTCAACTCCTCTGCTCAAGTCAATTTCAAAAGGTTGGCATTTCTCGCGTCAGTTTCAACCCCCACCTCATTTTCCAAAGAAAAATCACCAACACCCCCTTCTCCCCACCCCCTCATTCTCCAGCTTCCCGCGGGGAAAGGGCGAAATCTACTCTCTGTGTATTCTCGACCCAACGCTTTTTTATTTTTTTAAAAAAAGCCAGCTCAATATATCACAGGGAGTGGGGAAAATAGCATGGAAAGTACATCTGAAACGCCCGTCTCGCAGGAATTTTACTGAGATCGGAAACCCGAGAGCAAAATACAATAAGATATCCTTTTTTTTTGTTGTCGTTGCTGTTCCTTTTTGCCAACACCCCAGATATTCCTCTGTGCTTTAAGATCTCAGTTTCTGCGCCGTCCTGATGTAGATAGTACAGCGACAGAGGTGGTGGGGGTGGGAAAGGGAGAGAGAGAGACGGGGAGAAAAACCTCTCACGATCCGAGGGTTTCAAAAACTCCTCCGAGTAAAAATTCCTCTCCCAACACCACCCCCCCCCCCCCCCCCCCCCCTTCCCCCTTCCTTGGTTGAAACTATAGCACGCACAGATAGAGTCAAGCTCGACGTTTCGGAATATCCAGATCAGATTTTGGTTTAAACATTCCAGGCAATTCTCTCTAGTTGTCCCAACTTGCTACCTCATCGAGATCGGTAACTAGTGTAATTTTCAGATTACTGCATTGAAAAAAACCGCGGCTGTCTTTCACTTAGGCAAGCCGGCAACGCGTACCCTAAGACACACACACAAAACCCCAAATACATCATCTAGTTTCCTTTCTCTTCCTCCCCGTAACCTACACACACACAAAACTACAGTAACAAAGAAATCACATGGATACAACAGTCCTGACTTCTTTCGCTGCTACTTTCTGTCTCTCTGAAAGGTAGAAGCTGGCAACCTTGTATCGCTCCTGGTTTGAGGTGGGTACAATGTTACCATAAGGAAACCAGGCCGGATCGGAGCTACTTACTGTGTGAACGGATGTATGTCCTTGCCATAATTAGCTCCCAACACTGTTCCTGGAGCTGCTGCTCTACTCGTACTGAATGGAATGTAACTCCAGGCATCCAATGGGAACCCCAGCCTCGCTCTCACTCCCTTGGCAAAGTGCGATCCAAGCACTAGAGGGAGCCTGTCCCCACCAGCAGCCGCATTGCAATACAGCAGGCACATTCCCAGCCCCGAGTCTTAAAAGGGCAAGGCATTGGCGAAACGGATAGACACATTCACAATGTGGGCACTAACGCTTAAAAGGGCAATACAGAAATACTCAATGAGGGTGCTGATACTTAAAAGGGCAATGCGCACATACACGTGTATATGCACACACACACACAGTCAGAGACACAGACAGACAGACACACACAGAGTCAGAGACACAGACAGACACACACACACAGTCAGAGACACAGACAGACACACACACACA